TTATTTTTACATCTATGCTGATAACAACCATTCCCCTGTGGCATGGAACCTCGAACAAACCCAGTACGCACTAAAGATGAAGCCATACACCTATATAGAAGTCATACTCTTTCATGAGCCACATGCCATGTGAATATTTACAAAATTCAATGAGAAATTTAACTAGTAATTACCTGGAGTCACCCCCTCTCACTTCACCCAACATTCTGTCAGGCGGACGTGCACTATTGATATCCGTACAAGACCCATCTGAATAGGCAACAAAATATGTACAATAATCTGCTAACGAAGACTGACCACCTGCAATATGTTGCGTTTGAAATTCATTAGAATTTCTTTACCAAACAAGAAATGAATACAGGCATGGATTACTGAATAGCTTGCTCTGGAGTATACTATGCTTTCTAGATATTACAACTAAGGAAAAAGCAAAAAGCATTTTGGGTATCACAGTAACACGTAGATGCAGGAAAAAACTTAAGAAACATAGTTGAACGATTAGATTATTGGTACCAGCATGTTGCAATTAATCAACAGGACTGACCTTTATTAGCCTGTGGAAAGTAACGAGCCCATTGAGGTAAGTCTCCATTATAGCTTAGAATTGGGCAGTAACCTTCAGCCTCTCTGTTGTATGTACAGCCAGATAGTTGGGTTGTGTTACAATGGTACGCGCCCTTCCACGTGTTACACGGAGATGTGACAAACTGAGTCCCCTGGTTCCGGCCCCAATCAAGACGGTCTGCCATGCTATAGTTAGCCTTATACCAGCCACTATCCTCTAATAGAGCTAGAGTCATTTTCGAAACGACTGATCTTGTGTCTACTGACCCAGTCATTATCTCATTCATGAGAAGTCTCTTTTCCCAGTGGGACCCTGACGTGCCACGTCCTCCTCCATCCTCAAGTTCTAAACCCGAGAAGTTGTGAGAAAATGCCTGTTGAATAGAACGTTTTACACTCTTATGACTTCAGGATACAAAAACTAGGGTCACGAGGATTAACTTGCAAAGATGCATTGGTTCCTGAGAAGGAACTGATCAAAAAACATTTAAACTCACTCCGTAATGATGTCGCGAATGCATGACAACCCGTGGAAGCACTACGCGTGTCACTATCCGACCAAGCTTTTCATCCATCTGTTGCTCGGTTACCTAAGAACATGAAAAAAATCGCTTGTTTCAAGATGGTTTGTATAGAAAATAAGGAAAGACACAAGAAAAAAGAAAAATCCTAAGACATGCTAATGAAAACTAAACTTTTCTCTGGGTTAGGATGATATTTTAGTTTAATAACATACCTCAGTCCGTCTTCTTTTTCTTTCATCTCTAAAATGAGCAAATGCATGCGGATCAAAGCCAAGGACATGCATAACCTCATGAATGAGAGTTGCTGAAAGCAGAGTCCCAGATTCTGAAGTCAAATGGCGGGGAGCAACATTGACATGCCCTGAAAAAGACCATACCTCTAGGCTTTAGTTTAAAACTCATAGCAATGCAGGGATTTCAAAAGATTGTAATCAAGTGAAGGGAATGGAGAATTACCAGCAATTGCACGTCCCCACTGATCACGTTCGCAAGCTACGGCCCATGCAAGGGTATTACCAGTAGTAGGTCTTGTGGTCACCAATAGAACTAAATCAGTATCAGCAATACCCTCTGTGTGATAAGAAAGACACTAGTTAGACCAAAATAAACCTAGCAAGACAAGATCAATGGACAAGAAACTGCAATTAAGTAAGCAAAATGGGCAACGAAAATTACCCTCAACGTATTCACGAGGAAGCTGCACACCACCATCCTGCCCACAAGCAGAGTATCCACTTAAACGCAAATTCCCTTTCACAGGTTCAACAGCTAATGCTCTTCTGAACCAGTCTGCCGTCTGCTCCAAAGCCTTCATGTGCAAGATTTATAAATCAGTACATCTGCAGTGACCAGTAACACACTCACACATCCAAGACACAAAAGATCAAAGCGAACCTTGCGCAAGCGATGCCTTTTGTCCTCCCCAGATATGTCATCTAAAGTGCAGTTATACCAACAATCACCGGAAACTGGAGGTTTTACATTAGGATTGCATGCAGGAACAGCAGGGAACGGGCTTGAAGGAGGCTCACCCAGCTGAGATAATAGAGCACAAAACATATTAGTTCAGCAACCTAAAAAAGTTCGCTATATTTCACAATTATGTAAGCTACCGAGAATGCCCCACCTTCACGATATCACCAACTCTTTGGCAATCTCGATCAGCCGAGTGACCAACAGCATCATAGTTTAAGTAAATCCTGATAGGTTGTTTCACATCCTTGTGCTCATCAAGAACACTTAGCAGTACCCTTCCTTTGTGAGGATTAGAATTGGCAGCACTTCTTGGCTCATGATAAACCTGTGGAGTAACTGAATACACTTTTCGTCCCGGTCTCTTCCTCTGTTCTATGATCTGATCATGGATACACGAATGAGAAGACACTCCATCAACTCCACTCTCAAGACTTTGCAAAGGTATTTGGTGATTATTCCTGGATTTTGCATCAGCAGCTCCCGTCCACAATAGAATCAACAAAATCTGAAACAAAATAACGACAAAATATCTTTTGTAAAAAAGAGAAACTTTGTATTTGGCTAAGACAAAAGATAAACAAGAAATGTATCTACACGGATTCACAAACGGAAATAAATCTTAAAAAATCCACATTTGTAGCAACAACTTTCATCGATACGAACTCTAAAGAGACAATATATTTTAACAAAAAGAAAATGATAATTTTGCAGAAAATGGAAAGTTGATAGTAGAAGAAGATCGGATTTTCTCTAATTCACCATCAAGAAAATATTTTTGAGAAATGTAAGTATCAAAACCTCATCCAAAAATCTAGCTTAGGATCAAAATTGACGGGAAAAAAAACAAACGAACTTCCAGCTCAAATTCCCAGGAATCAAGCAGATTCTACAAGCCACATTTCAAAAATTCAAACGAATCTCAAAAACCCTAAATCCACCGCCGCGGAAAGCAAATGGCTGCGGGAAGAAAGCTTACCCCGGAAACGGCGAGAGCGGCGGCGAATCGGAGCTGGGAATTGACAAAGACCCTAGAACATGAACAGCAAGGGACTACAACCTCCATGAAATTTCGAGAAAAACAAGCATAAACAGCTTCACTTCCATCAAATCTCCGGCGAGTTCTCGATCAAATCAGATACAGAAAGATCTGCCGACGCAGTGCATTTCATCAGCTTACACAACAACTCTCAAATGGTTTATAACGAAAAGAAAATGGAAAAAGCTCCACAAAATCAAAATCTAAGCTCTCTCACCAGTAAGAAGGAAAAATGGAAAAAAAGCAATAAATAAAAATTAGCAAAAATGGATCGGAGCGTAGATTACTTCTGTAGCTTTGAAAATTTCAATAAATGGGAGTAAGGGTTTTTGAGGTAAGACTGATTCAAAACAGGTGATCTAGATTCCAGCAACCTAAAATACCAAAGATTTGGGTTTTCTAGCTTTTTCAGTAATCTCTCTCTCTCTCTTCTCTCTCAATAAAACCAAAAAACAAAAAAAAAAAAAAGGAAGTGACACTAAAGGATGAGAGAGAGAAAAGGAAGACAGAGCAAAAAGCAGAGTCAAATGGATTGGGTAGGAGTGGGTGTAGGGTAGGATATGATGTATAATTATTGTTTTTGCCATAATTTTAACATTTAAAGCGAATCAAAATCTGGTGCAATTGCGTATAATCAGTTTAATTTTTTCGGGACATGCTGAAATAATTTTTTTGAAAAAGTTTTGATTATATGCACTACAGAACTTAAATATGGCATTTATTTGTAAAGAATGAGGTGGTGGCAAAAAAACAAAAATGAGAATCATTTTCCCAGAATTAAACTCACTACAGAGACAAACATAAATGAAATACTATTAGCATAAAACACTAAAAACAAACTAAACTATTGATTTGGATCGTACATGAAATGGCGTGAGATGGTTGAATCTGGTTGAATCATCAAACACATGAAGAAGAATAGAGGTTTATGTAGAGTTGTGTGCAAATTTTTATCAATTTAGTCACTAAATCTTTTTTTATCTCTTAAAGTTAAAAACAAATGTAGATAAAATCGAGAGACATATTTGGTAGTATATTAAAATTTAAAGGGGAAAAAATAAAATTAAATAAAAATAAGATAAGAATTATCATAAATTCTTCAGTTTCCAAATATCTTAAAATAGTGAAAATAAAATCTAATATAATTATCAAAAAAATTATCATTCATAAATGCAAGATTAAGTTCATGTATAAATAAAGTAAAAATCTAAACCTGAAATGAGAAATATTGGTGTATTATTTTTCTTTTCCTTCTATTTTTACTTTTTATTTTTGTAGATTGTTTACTATATCAAGGGTGAATTTGCTGAATAACCATATTAGGAAGTATAATAAAGAATATAGCCATAACATACTTGATATAAAGAGAGTAACCAAAACTAATTTTTCTGGACAAAATTAACCTTGCAACTGGATTCCATTCCAGGCTATCCAAGGCTAATTTCTATGGAATGGAATAAAGTGACACATGAATCAAGGCTATCCCAAGCAATAAACTATTTCCCGAAGAACAAAAGATCAAGTGCCAAAAGTAGAGCAGCAAACATGGACAGATTATCTCAATCAATAAACTATTCTCTGCCTAATGTATGAAAAATCAAAAGTAATGAGCTCAGGAAACATCAAACTGAAAATCAAAACATCAAAACCATCGACATTTAAGATCACAACTAATCCAAATTACGTTAAGAGAGAGACATATACTTTCCATTTCCGATCGGCGTAGAGGAAGCCACTGGCTTTCTCAGTCTGTCGACGGCATGGAATCCGAAGAGGTGTGAATCGTCTTTTCCGATCGGAGGCGGAAACAGGAAAAGACAGAGATTGAGTGACAGTGATAGAGACGTAGATACTCAAAACGGTGGAGAGATGAGATCAAATCCGATGAACGGAATCAAATCTGTGATTATCGGCGAGAAAACGGTGGAGCAACGAGAGAGAGAGAGGAGGAGAAAGAGAGACGAAAGAATAAAATGAGAGATTATTTTTTCTCAAGACGTGATTTAACGTGTGCTTGACACGTGTCCGGTTTCTAATTTAGCAGAAGCAGCTAAGGTAAGATTCGGTTTTACCATGAGAAATTTTATGAAATACATCAAGATGTGAAAATTTTCAAAACTACACCTATAGTGTGGAAATTTTCAAAAATACACTTTTCCCTAATTTTAATATATATATTTGGATTCACTAATCCTATATTAGGATTTAGATTTTGGGGTTTAGAGTTTAGATTTAAGGGTTCAATGTTAGATTTTAGGGTTTTGGATTTATATTTTAGGGGTTAGAATTCTTTTACTAAATGAAAAAAGTGTAGTTTTGAAAATTGGCACCGTAGAGGTGTATTTTTATAAATTTGCACCTCAAGAGGTGTAGTTTTGAAATTTTCCCCATATTGTTAGATTAAATCTTTATTTAAATCACCTATTTCCTTTAAAACCATGCTTAAATCCCGCGATGGAGATGCCCTAGTCTTATTATATAAAACTGGATGCGTGCGACGTGGTTGCGACACGTAGGATTTTTATAAAATTTAGGATTGCGACATGTGTCACTTTTAATGTTATGTCCGTTAAGATCGTGACATGTGTCTTAGAAAAAAAGGAAAAAAATAATAATTAAAAAAAATTAGATAAAGGAAAAAACAAAATTTTAATCTTTTATAGTTAAAAGAAAAAAATATATATATTTGTCATATCCTAATAGAAAAAAGTTTCTCATTCATCAAATTTATATTATCCAAACACATATAAGATTCAAATTAATGAAATAAATAAAATCCTATTAGTACATGAAATAGGTTAGGTTTAGTTAATCTTTTATAGTTAAAAGAAAAAAAAATATATTTGTCATATCCTAATAGAAAAAGGTTTCCCGTTCATCAAATTTATATTATCCAAACACATACTCCCTCCGTTTCATAATAAGTGTCGTTTTGACTCTTGACATACCCAATGTATCCAAATATATATGGATGTATTAATATTCAAAACACATAGATAATCAATAAATAGTCCACATTCATTTTGTCAAAACGACACTTATTATGAAACGGAGGGATATAAGATTCAAATTAATGAAATAAATAAATCCTATTAATACATGAAATAGGTTAGGTAAACTAAATTTCCTATAACTGCATGGAATAAGTTACATGAACCCCTATAAAAAGAGAGTTAAAGTAGTCTTTTTTTTCTCATTCACAAACTCATCAAAGCAAACAACATGATACAATACGTATGATTTTTATACTCACAAAATTGCGATATGTGTATAAAATAATGATAATAAAAAAAACTAACTAATAATGAAAATGAAAATTTATAATGGTCTGAGTCAAAAACAAAATTGAGAAAGAAACAATATAAACAGAAAACTAACAAATTAATTATCAAGCAACTAACTAATATTAAGAAAATATAATGAACCGATATTCTAATTTTAAATAGTTAATATGTTTTCAATATTGTTAGGTAAAAAATTATTAAATAAAGATTTCATCAATTGAAATCTCTTGAATGGAATAATAAAGTTTTGTTGAATTAATTTATCAGTTGATCATATTTAGACATATATAAGTCTTTCTATATTGGATAAAAATAAAAATAAAATAAATTAATTCATTTTTTATATCATGAATTCAAAAAAATTATCAATTACAAATAAAAACGTAAAAAGGTTACCTATCTTATTTTATTTAAATATTTTTATTGAGTTTTTAATATTATTCTGTTTGCTTTAAAATGATCAAATTTGGTTTAATACTTTTCCATGATTTTATTACAAAATATTAAAATAAACTCGCATATACGCGAATCTTAATTTAGTAGCTTTATAAATTACGTGACACCAAGTTAATACTTTTATAAATTAAATTGCCACGTCTCTTTTTTTTCTCTTCCTTTTGTTGTTTGTATAATTTGGCAAATAATGGATGATCTAGTTCTAATTTCAAAATCGAACATAACAAATGATCCATTAAAACATACTATATCCTAATGACAATATCTAAAAACATATTAATATCCTAATGTTACATTGTTTAAAAGGTATCAACATCACACTCGCATCGCATTGACCGGATTCATTTGGCTGGTTATGTAATTTCAAAGAGAAGGCAATAAAACTAAAAGTGGACTACATTACATATAGGACTGTGGTTAAACATGACTAACAATTTGGCACCATGACCGTCTGATTTTACAAGTATAATAACTCTTGACATGATTCTTATCGATCACGAAATTTATTTTTTCACTAAACCTTAAATTTCTTGAAAAACCAAGGGCTACTGATGCAGTAGTAGATCACAAACTGGGACGGGGTTTTCTCTACAAAGAAATATATTACTAGAAACTTCTTTAAGATAACTTACAAGTATATGCTTAAACGAACTCAACAATCACAATCTATCCACGATCTGGTTGCTGTTCTAGTAACTCTCACGTTCTCAGATCTATCCACGATCTTTGAACCTCTCAAACCCTAGCCCCCATTGTCCTAGCTTTCTTACAAGAAATCTAAACCCAAATATGCTAAAGCTCTCAAGTTTGTGATAGCCGCTTACAAGCAGCCAAGGTCCTCTATTTATACTCAATAGACAAACCGCCAAACCCTACAAGGTTTGTGTCTTGGTGATTACTCCAAATCTCCAAGGGAATATTTCCTTTCCTTATTTTTCTCTAAGAATAGAAAATATTCCTTTTGTCTTGATAGCCGCCTACAAGCAGCCAGAGCACCCTATCTATCCACAATAGGCGTGCCTAGAAACCCTACAAGGTTTCGGTCTTGATGATTGCTCCAAATCCCCAAGGGAATATTTCCTTTCCTTATTTTTCTCTAAGAATAGGAAATATTCCTTTTGTGTTGATATCTCCAACTCTCCTCATCCAGCTCAGCGACCGCCTCTTCTGGATTCGTCCTTATCCGCTACAAGCTCGCATCCAGCTCAGCAACATTCCTTTAGCTCCGTTAAGCTCCACTTAGCTCCGCTACAAGTCCGTCCATACGTCCTGATGCACTTCCTGACTGATTCACGATCTGCGTCAAACCAGTTGCATCTTCAATCTCCCCCTTTTTAGCTTTGTGTCTCTCAAGCACCTGTAAAACTCAAAACCACAGTGCATATACCAGAGATGACCAGAATACTGGGATGATCTGAATACTTCAACATTAGTCATAGAAATATTAAACATGATTCAGAACAAGAGTTAAATCCAAAAGATCAAAGAACTTTCAACTCTCAACTCCCCCAGAATTCTAGATCGAAAACTACTCAAAACAAGGCAAACAAGATCAAAAGTCTTGCTCCCCCACAATTCTAGCTTAGATCCTAGTTTTCGTTCTCTGATACATCCTATTCTCCCCCTGCTTGTGAGCACACACAAGTTAAAAACACAAGATGGATAAACAGATTGAAATAGATTGTGCAGAAGGACAACTTACCTTGCAGATTGAACTATGTCAGTGAAACTCCGAAGGGACCTGTTTCCTGAAGAACTCTCTTGTTCCTTGCACGAGAGAAACATCCGCATCACTCTGTTCTTCAACACTATGAGCATATCAAGTCTGATTAAGAGCGGATGACGAAACCTCGCTGTGTCAGATGGCGGATCAATCGATGGCTGCTTCTCGATTTGAGAAGACTACTTCGTTGTAGTTCGAAACGGTTGACCTAGTTGAAGTTCATCAAGAGACTCTGTTTCGCGAGCTTTGTCGAGAGGGTGAAACGGCTGGTTTGGATCTAACAGAGACATTGATGCGTCGTCTGTTGTACTCCGGCTCTGCTGGTTCAGAAACACCATCGGTGCGTCACTACCAGAGATGTAGTGGTCGCTACTTCAGTCGCTTCGTCAGTCGACGGCAGTGCTTGGAGATTGCTGGCTTGTAGATATGACGGCTGTTTCAAAACACCATTTAATCGGAATCAACATAAATCAGCCGGATTAATTTGGTTTAGAGACCCAGAATCCCTGTTTGATTTCCTGCAACACTTAGCACCAATATCAGCAGTACAACACAAGGACCCAAAATTGTGACAACCACATAAGATTCGATTCAAGATAGAATCCAAACAAGCAATACCATCCCATGTGTCACATCTTTTCAGCTTAAAAACATTTTTACTCAGTTTATCTCAAATTAAATACCTTTCATTTTAGTGAAGGAGACATTGACTGAGTCGGCACTTGCATCAGGATGTATTACAAATTCTCAACAGATTCATAGCGCTTGGCCATCCTGATTCCAACCTGCAGCTTTCACTTTGTCATACCCAGATCATATCACCACCTCTAATTCCAATGATGTGCAAAGTGAAACTCTTTATTTTGTTCAAGGCAGAACATGTGATCATTCTCTGTCGTTGGATGTTGTTCTTGTGAAACATTACCCTTCGAGAAAGCTCATGGACCAACTAGCCTTGTGAGCTATTGTTGTCAAGTCCATCCCCTTTCCAATTAAGCTCTTATTTCTATCGTCAGACTTTGTTCTTGTGAAACATTGTCTTTCGAGAAATCACATGAACCAACTTAGCCTTGTGAGCTATTGTTGTCAGTTCATCACATTTCCTGTTATGCTCATTGAATCACTTTTTGGTTCTTGAAGCAGCAAGCCATCTCCATCATATTGCATTCATTTGGAGTTGGCTCAGCTGCTTTTTGACCTTGAACATGCTTTTAGAATCACTTACTTTTCACTTTTCTTATGTTGAGGTGACATGACGGCATGACAAAGTAGCTGATCCTCATTAATTTTAACAGAGATGCTTAGCACAATTTTATTAATAAAATATATAATAAACATCACATAAGCACTTTTACGTTAAGCATGCTCTTAGGAAATCCAGAGAAATGGGTAGGTAACAGACATCATGAATTCATGATGATATATTAGACTGCTTTATATCTATCTCTAATTATAGAACCCCTGATTGATCATTAGTTATAATTAACCGGTCTAAAATATGTGCCTCACGTTCCCTCCATTGCCATCTCCACAAATTTCTCTGCCCAAAATCACTGTAACAATTAGCATATCTTCTTTTATTGTGTTTGCCGCTCAATTGGCAAAATCCTTCTCCTCCCCTTGATTATTTTAGAAGAGAGGTCTCCTCTTTGGCCCTTTTTTTTTGTTTTGACTCTAAATCTCTCGGAAAGCAGTAGGAATGGTTCGTGCATCAGAGCAAGAGCAGGAAGGCTATAGAAACAGGCTGTTCAATTTTAAATGGAGGAACAACGACAACAATGTAGGCAGACACGCCAAGAGTGTCAGCGTGGAGACCGGTTTAGATGAGGCAGCCAACGAATCTCAGGAGGTTGAACCGTTGACCATAATCCATCCTAACGAGGGCCCGCCACATTCAAGATCGGTTGCTGATGAAGCAACGCTCGCAGCCGCACAGGCTAGAGAAAAACAGCTTATGGCAGACATGGAGCAGATGAAAGAGCGCTTCTCAAAGCTGTTGCTGGGAGAGGACAATTCCGGTGGAGGCAAAGGAGTCTCCTCTGCTCTCGCCCTCTCAAACGCTATCACTAACCTTTCAGGTAGGATTAGGAATAGAATTAGGACTTTTCTGGTTGGTGGTCCCTCTCTCTATCAATCAACTTGTCTTGTTTTTCTTGTTGGTAGCTTCCGTGTTTGGAGAGCAACGACGTTTGGAGCCAATGGCTGCAGAGAGGAGAGCAAGATGGAGAAGAGAGATTGATTGGCTTCTCTCTGTGACCAACTACGTCGTTGAGTTTGCTCCATCTCAGCAAAAAAACAAAGATGGAACCGAAATGGAGGTTAGTTTGTTTACATGTTTCTCTGCTGATTTATTTATGATTTGGTGATTTACTTATCCATCTTACTTTGAACAGATAATGACTACACGGCAACGTACTGACCTCCACATGAACATCCCCGCCTTAAGGAAATTGGACGCTATGCTCATTGTAAGACCTCCTTCCTTCCTTGTCAACACACAAACCAAGTTTGACTAATGTCATGGCTGATTTGTTTCTTGCCCTTTTCTCTTTAGGATTGTCTAGAGAATTTCAAGGACCAAAGCGAGTTCAGCTATGTTTCAAAAGACTCACCTGATTCGGACAAGAGAAATGACGAGAAATGGTGGATTCCGACCGTCAAAGTTCCGCCAGATGGTTTATCCCAAGCTTCAAGAAGGTTCTTGCAGTACCAGAAAGATTGTGTGAACCAGGTTCTCAAGGCAGCCATGGCCATAAACGCGCAGGTCTTGTTCGAAATGGAGATCCCTGAGAGCTACATCGACTCACTCCCCAAGGTAAACAGTAGTAAACACCACCACAGTCACAATTTATGGTCAAAATGGAGCAACTCACGCTTTTTATTGTTTATACTTGATACTACAGAACGGGAGGGCTAGTCTCGGGGATCAGATGTACAAGAATATAACGGTGGACTTCTTCGACCCGGACCAGTTCCTGGGCACCATGGACATGTCGTCGGAGCACAAGATCGTCGACCTCAAAAACAGAATCGAGGCATCAATCATCATATGGAAACGTAAAATGGTGCACAAAGACACCAAATCATCGGCCCCGTGGGCCTCGGGGGTCAGTTTGGAGAAGAGAGAGGTCTTCGAAGAGCGAGCTGAGACCATTTTGCTCATTCTCAAGCATAGATACCCTGGGATTTCTCAGTCCTCCCTCGACATCAGCAAAATCCAGTTCAACAAGGTTGCTCAATCTTTTCAATCATCCATTCAGATTTTCGATGTTTTTTTTTTACATTTCTCTCTGATCATCACAGGACGTGGGTCACGCGGTGTTGGAGAGCTACTCGAGAATACTGGAGAGCTTGGCGTACACGGTGCTGTCGAGAATTGACGACGTTCTAGAGGCAGATCGAGCGGTGAACAAGAGGGAGCCAGAGGACGTGGCCGTGGAGACGCTGGTTGGGAGTATGACGTTGTCGGATTTCATGGGATGGGAAGTCGAGCAGGGGAACGCCGACTTGGATGCGAAGAAGGAAACGTCGGACGATCAATTGGTGAAGGAGAAGATAGGTGTCGTCACCACCAAGAAGATCTCATACCTCGAAACCCTAGGCGGCGTCAATAGTCCAACGGCGCGGCATTGATCCGGCTTGTTGAGTAGAGCGTACAAGTTTAAATTTAGGAGGGAAAAGAGGGAATTGTAATTTGTAAAACTGGGCCTAAAGATAAGGCCCATTTAATTGTAAATTCATTTACCAAAGTCTTAGAAGCCCATGTACAGTATATCAGATCATTTCTTCTCTTCCACTTTTATACATAAAACATTATCGCCTTATCCTCGGAATCTCATTTTCGGGAGAGGGATAACGATGACGTCCCTAATCTCATCTCTGCAAGCTCTGAAGCTTTCTTCTCCATTCACCAATGGCTCCACTCCACTCTCGACTCTCTCGAAGCCCAATTACTTCCCGAACCCTGGAAGGCCCGCCGCTGCAGTTCCGGTGATCAGAGCGATGAAAACGATGCAGGGGCGCGTGGTGTGCGCAACGAACGACAAGACAGTGGCGGTGGAGGTGGTGAGGCTGGCCCCACACCCCAAGTACAAGAGGCGCGTGAGGAAGAAGAAGAAGTACCAAGCGCATGACCCGGATAATCAGTTCAAGGTGGGCGACGTGGTGAGGCTCGAGAAGAGCAGACCCATCAGTAAGACTAAGTCTTTCGTGGCGCTTCCTGTCGCCTCGCGGAGCAGCAGGAATCCGGAAGCCGGAGGAGGAGCAGCAGCTGGGAACGACCTCGGCATTCCCTTGGAATCTCAGCAGCCGGCCTAGTGGAGACAGATAACTGAGTCTTGTTTGTTTTATGGTTTCGGATGATGCTGCTTCTGTTTCTTGTGTAATTCTCTTAATCTGTTTATGGAATATGCATTCTGATTTCGTGCACCAATTGCTTAATGTTGTCAAGTTGTGGAATTTAGTCAATGATGGCCGTGCTTGTCCAGGATTTCCAATTGCAATGTGCTTTTGTTTTGGTCAAGTTTATTGTATCAATCGTGTATGACATTGATAGATACTCTTGTTAAAAAATGGCTTTTTTTTGTACAGAACTTGGCTTAATGCACTGCTATACATTATCATATACTTGGCTAACAACATGTTCATCATAAGAGAGTGACACTGTGAAGTTATTAACAATCTTCGATTTGAAGACTGGTCTTAATGTTGTGGAGCGTGAGAGAGACGAGGTTTGTGACGGATTCGACAGACTCCATATTGAGCTTAGCTGCAGGAGAAGGGTTGATGAGTGTTTGGAGGGCGAGTGTGAGCAAGGACCCTCCTTGCGTGTTTCTGTCCTCTTGTGTAGACGTGATTACCAATGGCCGTGATTCCACTCCATCGGGTATGATTGAGAATCCAGAGGGCAGGATTTGGATGTTGCTTGGATCATGTCCTGCGATCACCAGCTGCGTCGTGTTTATATCCACCGGAGCATAAACCACCACCGACTCATACGAGTTTGTGCAGCTGTCCTGCAGCAACCATATGCTCTTTTCTCTCGATTTCACTGTCTGGAATTGGCCGGCCAGATTAGATTTGGAAGCCGAGAGAAACTGACATGACAAAAGTAAACATATCTATACAATACCTGAATAGAGACTGAGTTGCCTCTGTCTTGGCCCTTGGATAAGCTTGCAATAGACTGAACATGAGCTCCGTTTGACAGAGCATCCCACTGATCATGATATGAATTTAATTGCTCGTGTGTGTAGAACTGTAGATATAGTACAAAATATATGTATTGTGTGGGTTTGAGAAGGTACCTCATGGCGACGAGCTTCATCTCTAAAGAAATCAAAGAGAAGAGTTGGAGAGACAGGTAACCAGAGGGAGGAAGAAGCGCAGACAATGACTCCGGTTGGCTCGCCAGGATCATGGAGGTTCTTCCTGGAAGAAACCCTCATGTCTTGTCCGGTTTTGGTGGTGATTTTGGTCCACTGATGGTAGCTTGATGCTGCAATGGCGCGGTAGAAGCTTTGCGTCATCCTCTGAGCCATTTTCAGAACGCTCTTTCTCCCTGCTAGCGTTGTAACCCCTGAGAGGAAGATCATTGGCGTCAAGTTAACAAGGAGCTTGAGAGAGAGAGAGAGAGAGAGAGAGTAAATATATATAGAGAGGACGGACCGAGAGAGTCCTTGGTGGGGACGTTGGTAGCCATGAAGAAGACGAGGCGCTCGCAGTGGAGCTGGAGGGTGGCGACCCAGTGACGAGCACCAAAGGCTAAACCGGAGTTGACAAAGGAGCGGAAGAGAGGCTGAACCGTGGAGGCAGACAAGTCGAGGTGCTCCACCCAGGTGACCTTGGAGTGGCCGTTGGAGGTGTCCTCGATGATGCAGCCTGAGGGACGTTTCCGACATTTCAGCAAGGAAGCCTCCTTGTCCTCCTCCGCGGAGACCGACACGTCCACGATGGCCCATTTCTCAGGGCTCAGCTGCCGGCAGCTTCTCACAAAGTATACTTCTCTGGTGGGGACGACCGGAGTGAGCAGCTGCATTTCCCCAAACATCTGCCAATTATACATAAACATACGTATTCATTATCTTCTTCATCATCACTATATAAATATAAAGATAAATAAAGTCTTCGAGAGTCACTCTCACCAACTGAATGGCACCGTCGATCCTTGAAGGCCCTTCACCCTGCCTTATGACATCAACCGTCGCCGCCTTTGAGATCAAGCACGCAAACATCTCCTTCCATTGCCCCTACACACGTTCATCATCATTAACCCACATGTTCCTAAGCAATATAATAAATTAATGAACGAAAAACTTAGAAAAAGTACCACGTCCATGAAACACTGCGCAAGTTTATGTGCGTCCATAAACACAACGCCCACATCTCTGGATGCTTCGATGGATTTTCTTCCAGGAAGCGAAGACCCCTGTGCTTGTGGGAACTCCTTTAGATACTCATCGTAGTTTAGAATCTCCCGCCCCGTCTCAACGCTGCGGAGCCACAGAGGCTCGCCCGAGGTGGCCATCTTCTGGAGCTCAAGGGTGGCTCGGTTGGCGATCTCCGCGATGCGAGTCTTCTCCAGGACAAAGACCCCCGTGTACATTTCGAGACGGCGTTCTTGGTCGTCGGAGCATGAGGCCTGCAGTGGGTAGGGAGTGCGTCCGAGAGCCGCACGGAGCTTGTCGAGCTCGGCTTTCAGTTTGGAGTTTTCAAGGTGAAGATCATCTCCGCAGTTGGGGCACGAAGAGTTAGCCTTTGAAAACGACTCTCTCATCGCTTTGTTCTCCTCTCTCAGCTTTTCTAGTTCTGCTTTCAGCAAAGAGTTCTCGTGCCGTTCTTGGATAGCCTGTTATCGTAGGAGGTTTCATTAAACAACGTACGTACGTACGTACTAGTCTTTCATTTTTATTCTTTGTCTTCACAAATAAAGGTACGTACCTTGATCTGGGTGCGGCGGTTTTGGAACCAGAACTTGACCTGGCGAGGAGCGAGCCCTAATTGCTTGCTCAGCTGCTGTCTTTGCTTCTCGTCCGGATGTGGTGTCTCTTTGAATAGCCTGCGTATATGTTCACTTTCTCAGTTCACATTTCCATCAAAGCATTTCTTCTCTTGAACCCTGAACCCTTACTACCTCTACAGTCTATACATACAGATCTCGGCTTTCATTATGATCGAATGAATTTTCAAAATCCTTAATTACGATCTGTGTCCAACCAAAACATGTACGGAGAGGAAAGAGAAAAATAAAGAGTAGGCAAACCATGTAATTAAACGCCTATGTCGAAATTAATGCTTGGCAATATATTTGTCCACATTTTACATGAAATATTTGTATATGCATTCTTTTTTTCTTCTCGTTTGCACTAGAAATGGAGTGAACTTTTCTTCACAAGGCACCGTCCTTTCTCTGACTACTATTACCCCTATCTATGTATATATATGGAGATGAGATGATACATGAAATCAACATAGTTGAGAAGAAGGGTGTGTATGAGATAATCAAATTCATAGATAATGGTTACGATCATCAAGACTAATTAGTGAATGTTCCTTGTTTGAAAACCCTAGTTGAGATGATTATAAAATATGAATTAAAAGAAATAAGAGTGAAGGAAGAAGAACGTACGCTTCCATGTGTCTGATCTGATCGGTGGTGTGGCGATGATACTTCTTCCGCTTCCTCTTCTTGCCCTTGTTTCCGGAACCATCTTCCTCCAGCTCATCCAACTCTTGCTCCTCATCACCCTCCAACTCCTCCTCTGATCTGGATCTTGTGGGTCCCGAGTTCTCGCTGCTCATCTCCACCGTCCGATCCTCTTCGTCAACTACCCTCCTCCCCAAAAAATCCTCCTCGGGGTTCGTGCTGCCGGAGGATGCATTCCGGAATATCCCAGCCTGTATGATATCATCATCACCATTCAAATATTATAATATACACATAAAGAATACGGTACAATCCCTACAATTAATCAATATGTGTAGAAATTAAAAAGAGCATACGAGAGAGAGGGAGAGTGCTGGAGAGGAGAAGAAGTCTTTCGTTGGTTGTTTTGATGACATCTCCACGGCCATTGACATACGCTCCGATCGATCTTTATTTGCTTATCCTCTTCCCCCTTCTTCCTTCTATTTATATATAGTCTTTTTTTCTTTTAGTTTTCTTTATTTTTATTTTTACCTATAAGCTAAGCTAGCCCTTCAATACCAATTATATAAACGGTCGTTTTTCAGATATCTTTCCCATTTCTCTACTGCTTGACTTTTAGGTGCTTCATTTATTTATAATTAACCACTTCATTTATGTTTTTTTCTAATGCTACTCTATTGGTTTTACAGTTTTATCCGCTACTTCAGTCCTGACACTTGATTAGTTTTTTAACATGTCTCAGTTTCAGCCATCGATCAACGTCATTTTTCTTCTGAATATATCGATGGATTGTATTGTATGAGCGAATTCGCCCATGCGTATCTAGAAATATTATCCCTTCAAATGGTAAGTGTATATATATAATGTTGGAAGAATTTCGGCACAAACGAATTGAATTAATCAACTGGTTTGAACATGATTTTGCCCCTAGTCATGAATTTAATCGATTTAAAGCACATATATAAATTACTGTAGACAGGGAGAA